CTGACACCTTACACTAAAATTAACTCCAGATGGATTAAAGACTTAAACATAAGACCTAACACCATAAAAACCCTAGAAGAAAATCTAGGCAAAACCATTCAGGACATAGGTGTAGGCAAGGACTTCATGACCAAAACACCAAAAGCATTGACAACAAAAGCCAAAATAGACAAATGGGACCTAATCAAACTCCACAGCTTCTGCACAGCAAAAGAAACAATCATTAGAGTGAATCGGCAACCAACAGAATGGGAAAAAATTTTTGCAGTTTACCCATCTGACAAAGGACTGATATCCAGAATTTACAAAGAACTAAAACAGATTTACAAGAAAAAAACTAACAAGCCCATTCAAAAGTGGGCAAAGGATATGAACAGACACTTTACAAAAGAAGACATACATGAGGCCAACAAACATATGAAAAAATGCTCATCATCACTGGTCATCAGAGAAATGCAAATCAAAACAACCTTGAGATACCATCTCACGCCAGTTAGAATGGCGATCATTAAAAAATTTGGAGACAACAGATGCTGGAGAGGATGTGGAGAATAGAAACACTTTTGCACTGTTGGTGGGAGTGTAAATTAGTTCAACCATTGTGGAAGACAGTGTGGCGATTCCTCAAGGACCTAGAAATAGAAATTCCATTTGACCCAGCAAGCCCATTACTGGGTATACATCCAAAGGATTATAAATCGTTCTACTACAAGGACACGTGCACACGAATGTTCATTGCAGCACTGTTCACAATAGCAAAGACCTGGAACCAACCCAAATGCCCATCGATGATAGACTGGACAGGGAAAACGTGGCATATATACACCATGGAATATTATGCAGCCATCAAAAATGATGAGTTTGGGTCCTTTGTAGGGACATGGATGAACCTGGAAACCATCATTCTCAGCAAACTGACAGAAGAGCAGAAGATCAAACACCGCATGTTCTCACTCATAGGTGGGTGTTGAACAATGAGAACACATGGACACAGGGAGGCGAACACTACACATTGGGGTCAGTCGGGGGGAAACAGGGGAGGGACGGTGGGGGGTGGGGAGCTGGGGAGAGATAGCAAGGGGAGAGATGCCAGATGTAGGTGATGGGGAGGAAGGCAGCAAATCACACTGACATGTGTGTACCTATGCAACAATCTTGCATGTTCTTCACATGTACCCCAAAACCTAAAATGCAATAAAATAAACGGGGGAAAAAAAATAAAAAGAAATAGTTACTGATTTAAGGAACTTTGTCTTGTGTGAGAAAATAAAAATAAATCATTATAAATATAGTAACATAAACATTATTATACAGACAGCACCATGTGCCAGGCAATATAGAGAGGAAGTAACTATCTCTATGTGGGGGATATGGTGGGGAGAACCCAAAAGGAGAACCAAGGTCTCACAATTGAAATATCATATAAAATAAATATTGAAAGGTAAATTAAGGATAGGTAGGGAGAAAGGGAGGAGGGCAATCTATGTGAACACTGAAACCAAAGAAATAGTATATGGAAAGGAACGAAAGCATCAACAAACGTGAAGGAATGAATGAAGATGACAAAGGAAAATAGTCGTTAAGGTCTGTACCTGGAGAGTGTTTATATAATTTCAGAGGTGAATGGAGTCTCAGGGCTCTTCTAGACTAATCTTCTAAATTGATGAATGAGGAAGCTGAGTTTTACAATGATAAAGAGACCTGAAATGTTTTCACTACATTAAATGATACTTACGGATAACTTCTTCCTTGCTGTCAGACTCTTGTGTTAAAATGACTTCTCTGTAAAAGAGAATCAAATCAATTTGAGTTAAATATTAACAGAGCATCTGAGAAAAAACAGGAAAGAAAAATCTAATCAACCAGATACTTACTTTGCATTAACAAGGATAATTAACATTAAGAAATAAATAAAAAACGGATCTGCTTGTTGTAGATATCCATCCCATATTGCCTGAGTGACTTCAATGGAACAGTAACATGCAAAAAGACTTCCAAGCTGTAATCAGGAAATGAGATGAGACATAAACCACTGGAGGTGACTTGTTCTCTTAAAAGTATTGAAGCATATGAATAATAAACATTACATCAAATTATCTGCCCCTGATATTAAATGCGTACCTTAATCTTAGTGTATGAAATCCAAAGGCAAAACATGTGAATTTAAGGGACAATGGAGCCACTTATTAACTGTGAGACTTAAAACATGTCAACCTCTTTAAAGCTTCCATTTTTACTTCTGTAAAAAAGGAATACTGCTACCCATCTTCTACTACTGTTGTGAAAAGAGTACCTAAAATAACTAGCACATATCTTTGTCATAGCATAGCTAGCATGATTATGGTCTCAACTCCATAGGAGTAACTAAAATAATTACAACATAGTAACAGCACAGTATTTAAATTACAAGGTAATTGTGAGGATCGAACACCGTAATTTAAGAGCAACTAATAAAACTTTAATCATAACATAAATATGAATTGCTCCCAAAGCTCACTTGTATATCACTTTAAAGAGGTTAGACCAGGCAAGGTGGCTCATGCCTATAATCTCAGCACTTTAGGAGGCCAAGGTGGGCAGGTCACCTGAGGCTAGGAGTTTGAGAACAGTCTGGTCAACATAGTAAAACCCCATGTCTACTAAAAATCCAAAAATTAGCTGGGCATGGTGGTGCGTGTCTGCAGTCCCAGCTACTGGGGAGGCTGAGGCAAGAGAACAACTTGAACGCGGGAGGTCGCAGTGGGCTGAGTCTGAACCAGTGCACTCCAGCCTGGGGGACAGAGTGAGGCTCTGTCTCACCAATAGTGGCTTACGAAAAAAAAAAAAAAGATTAAACAACATTTATATCCTTCAATAGATTCCAGGAGCTCTGTAGTTTTACATTCAAATAAAAGAAAATAAAAGAATTGTTAATTTATAAGTACAGCCTAGTTGTGTTTTAAGTTGCATGAAGCAATGTTTTTAGATCATTGAATTTTCATTAGATACAGACATAATTCCATCTATAGGTTTAAATTTAAAACATTTTTTAATGGCTAAAGAGAATTAATGGGAACACATATTTAGCGCATACTTTGTGCAATACTAAACTAATACTAAACTATTATCACATATCATTAAAAATATCTTACAGTATTTTAATTCTCACCATAGGCCTGCAAAGTAAACACATTTCTCCTCACTTCACAGGTGAGAAAATAGATTTCAATTACTCCCATTTTTTTTCAGGTGAAGAACTTGCATGATGTTACTTTCTCAAGCTCACAGAGCTAGTCAGTGGTGTTGGGAATAAGGAAAAACCCTAAGATTCCACAGCCCATGTAATTGCCATCACACTTGACCACAAGGCTTTTAAAATACATAATGTGACTAAGGTTTTTTGTGGTTGCTTTAAAAATTACGATTATAAACACACATTAGAAGAGGCACATAGAAACAGAATAGTAACATACAGCCACCTTTAAGGGCTCACTTAGCTAAACTAAAGCTACCACTGCATTGCTCACAGTGACAGCTTCTCAAAGTTTAGGAATTACTTTTTAATTGTTTCACCTCATGATATTTTAAAAACTCCATTTCATCAGCATTCATTACTACTAGCAAGAATAAACTATCTGGCATATTGGCTGAAGAGAAACCACTCAGTTTAAACCTCCAGCTACCAGCACTAATTTAGAGCTCTGGCATCATAAACGGCATTTCCTAGGAAGAGAGACCTCTAGTAATTATTAAAGTGCTTAATAGTTTACTACTTTAACATAAATAGGTAGATTCAGTGGCAACATATGAATCTCAGAGAAGCTACAATTTTATAGGTATTTTACTATTTTAACTCAAAGTGACAAGACTAGGCTTGGCTCACACCTGTAATCCCAAGCACTTTGGGAGGCCTGGGAGGGAGGACTGCTTGAGCCCAGGAGATCGAGACCAGCTCAGGCAATAGAGTGAGACCTTGTTTCTACAAAAAAATGAAAACATTAGCCGAGCATGGTGGTGCGTGCCTGTAGCCCCAGCTACTCAGGAGGCTGAGATGGGGGGATCGCTTGAGCCCAGGAGGTGGAGCTTGCAGTGAGCCAAGACTGTGCCACTGCACTGCAGCCTGGGAGACCAGAGCGAGACCTCATCTCAAAAAAAAAAGTGACAAGACTGGCCAAGAGGGAATTAAAGAACAGGCTACTGAAGTTTGAGATTTAATGAGCCCAGAAGTGAAACCAGTTAGAATTCCCCAATTACCCCATATCCTGACTGTTAACTCAACCTATCATCCTCCGAAGTAGGTATAGTTCTGTTATCTCCAGTTTGCAGATGAGGAATTGAAACTCAGAGGTTAAGTATCTTAGATCACAGAGTTAATAACTGGAAGAAATGGGATTCTTCCTGAAGAAAAGTTAAGTAATACATAATAAAACAATAAGAATGTATAGTCTCCTAGCACCCAATCATTGTTTTAGAAAGATCTGCAAGTTAACCAGAAGAACAGTTTTCAAAGTGTGGTCTGAGGACCCCCTAGAAGCCCCCAGGATTCTTTACAGGGCATCTGTAAGGTCAAAACTATCGTTACAAAAATATGTAGAATTTACTTGCCTTTTTCATATTTATTCCCTCAAAAACAAACAATAGAATTTTCCAATGGCTACATGATATGTAATATGATCACAGACTGAATAAAGAAGAAGATATGGGCCAGGTGTGGTGGCTCACACCTGTAATCCCAGCACTTTGGGGGGCTGAAGCAGGCGGATCACCTCAGGTCAGAAGTTTGAGACCATCCTGGCCAACATGGTAAAACCCTTTCTCCACTAAAAATACAAGAATTAGCCAGGCGTGGTGGCGGGCACCTGTAATGCCAGCTACTTGGGAGGCTGAGGCAGAAGAATCACTTGAACCCGGGAAGCAGAAGTTGCAGTGAGCCAAGATCGTGCCACTGCACTCTAGCCTGGGCAACAAGAGTGAAACGCTGTCTCAAAAAAAAGCAGATAGGATAATCCATCTTTGATGTAGCCAAACATTAATGAGATTTGCAAAAATATAAAACAATGCCACTACTAATTTTCTTTTGGAAAACAGCTGTTTATTTTAAAATAGACTATTTATACATCATGTTATCAATTTATAATTACTTTTAAATAAATAAATCTTTAAAATTCCTTAGATTTAACCTTTTTTTTTTTTTTTTTTTTTGAGACAGAGTCTCACTCTGTTGCCCAGGCTGGAGTGTGGTAGTGTGATCTTGGCTCACTGCAACCTCTGTCTCCCAGGTTCAAGTGATTCTCCTGCCTCAGCCTCCCAAGTAGCTGGGATAACAGGCACACATCACCACACTCGACTAATTTTTTTTTATTTTTAGTAGAGATTGGGTTTTACCATGTTGGCCAGGCTGGTATTAAACTTCTGATATCAACTGATCTGTCTGCCTCAACCTCCCAAAGTGCTGGAATTATAGGCATGAGCCACCGCACCCAGCCTAGTTTTAAATTCTTCTCAGAATAGTCCATGTGGATCATCAACAAATTTTAAGAGTGTAAAGGGTCCTGACACCAAAGGACTGAGGATCACAGACCTAAAATAAGACTTCCCATTGAAAATATAAATACAGTACAATAGAGCACTGGGTTATGCTTTATATTATATTAACCATTTGATAACCTTAAGTGATTTTCCTTGACTGTATACCAATTCTTATTCACATCATCAATTTAAACAAAGTTCTCAATTGAACTGATATATGTATCATATATTACATGTATATATTCATATTTATTACATATATGTAAATATTAATTGTAATATTTAATTGTAATTAGTTGTAAATATTAGTTATATTTACAAATACATGTAAAATAAAAGTAAACATCATATGAAATAATCTGAACTAACCTAAATGAAGAGCAAAAAAAGTTATTTTGAAATGCCAATAATTTCACCCCTTGGTTTAAACAGTAATGATCTATACTTAGCACTTTCCTTTCCCTTCTTTGAAAAAAAAACCCCGCCTAACTATAGTTTTATATAAAGCTATTTTTCATTAAATGTTCCTACTTTCACTTTATTACCCAGTTGAGTGCATAGGAGTCTGGAGTAATTTTCTTTGTATCAAGATAAGAACAAAGCTCAGGCTCATGGTATTGGATGAGCAACCTGAAGAGATGAAATGGTCTCCCCTTCTGGGAACAATCCCTAGAAGACAAAAGAAACAAAGTTTTTTGCATTAATAGATCAGAAATCATCACATTAGTAACCAATCTTCCTGCTATCCCCACTTCCACAGCATTCACTGGAGGCCTACCTGACAGCATAGGCAGGGGTCCCTTGCTAACACCTTTTTCAATGTCCCTGGCTTGATAAAAGTTGTAAAAACAGGTCTAAAGCCACTCTAGGGAGATTCTCACAGGTGAACCCAGGCAGCACTTAAGTGAGAGTGCTACAGGGATCACTGAAAACAACGTTTAGGTTATTTTGATAAGGCTGGGATCCCGAAAGGAGATCTGGAGAGTCCTGAAGAAGCCCAGCCCCTTCCTTCTCTGCCAAAAAAGAGGAACTTCTAGAAAGCAGGCTTCACGTTAGCTCAACGGTTTATATACTCAATTAGGAATGTCCTTAGCAAAGGTACAAGTCCGAAATGGGCAGGCGAACATTTCAGAAACAGTGGCCTTAAAAACTGTTGAAGTGGCCTGAGTACCAAGTCCTCAGAGCAAATTCCAGAAGGTGCCGAAATACTCATTTTGTTCAAGAACTGTCCTACTTCAAAGGGTTACTGTGAGAGCGAAATGGGAAAACTGAATCTGAATGCTGTTTTAAAGTAAAAGGCACCAAACATGTATATTAACATTTTTACCTAAAGCCTTTTTTAAAACAAATATCACATTTTGCTGCCAGAGACTTCAAAAGTAGAAAGAAGGTACTCTACTTAGTACATGGGTGGTGAAATGATCTGTACACCAAACCCCCATAAGAATTTACCTATATAACAAACCTGCACATGTACCCCTAAACCTAAAATCAAAGTTAGGAATAATTACAAAGCACACACAGATGCATTCTGGGCCGTGGATTCCCTACAGTTTCTAGTCATCATCTCAGGAAGCATCTCAGCCTGCTCAGCTTTAAGAAGACTCCTCTGCCACAGGTTACTCCTCTGCCACAGTAGCTACTCACAACCTTGATCCAAAAATTATTGTCCCTATACCCAGGTACCCAAGTATTTGAGCCCAGAGATAACAAACCCTTGGAGCAGGTCCACATGTGGTCCATGAACTAGGCTCACTCCTTAGGAAGCATAGCTGCTTCCTCCTTCCCATGCTCAGTCCCTGATCTTAAATTCAGAAGCCTTATTATCTTCCAACTCCCACATAAGCAGCACTCTTAGAAAATCTTTCCAGCCCAGAGGATTTGTTAGATACTATTATATTCCTATTAACTCATGTTCCTATGTGCCTGTTTGTAAAAACTCAAACAGAATACGTCATAGAAAAAAATCTCTCAAAAGAGATTGGAGTTTTGATACTGGATATAGGGAGATAGTTACATGTCTTTTTTTGTTTGTCTGTTTTTTTGAGATGGGGACTGGCTCTGTCACCCAGGTTGGAGTGCAATGGCGTGATCTCAGCTCATTGCAACCTCTCTGCCTCCTGGGCTCAAACCACCCTCCCACTCAGCCTCCCTAGTAGCTGGGACTACAGGTACTATGCCACCAGGCCTGCCTGATTTTGTATTTATTGTAAAAACAGCGTTTCTTCATGTTGCCCAGGCTGATCTTGAATTCCTGGGCTTAAGCGATCCTCCCTCCTTGGCCTCCCAAACTGCTGGGATTACAGGCATGAGGCACCATGCTGGGCCATAGGTAGTTACTTTTTAAACAATACAGTTAAAAACAAAAAAGTAATACTGCAAACACAGTTAATTCCAGACAGTTTGGTTAAAGTACGGTGCTACTGTTAACAAGGTGTTGGCTCAATCTTCATTTAGACAAGGAGGCTTCACTAATTCCTCAGTTCTATAAACTTTACTCCATTCAGCTTTTGTACTAAGATACATTCTACTATTACAAGGGAAAGAGGCAAGAATGTATCTAATGAATCAGCAAAAAACTGTAAACAGCTGGAAGCACAGGCCATCATCATAAAAGTCAACTATTTATTGAGGAAATACCATGTGCCAGACAACGTAATAAATATTCTACAAAGTTATTTCATTTTACCTTACATTTTATCAAACAATCCTATGAAATTTATGCCCATTTTACAGATGAGAAAACTGAGGCTCAACTGAAGTCAAGTAGCTCACTGAAGGTAAAATAGCTAAGAAGTGATGTAAGACTTGTACACAGAAACTGGACATTAGGTCGTCACGCCATACTGCCCCCTTCCATACATAATTTGATATTTCAACAAGTTGTATTTTTGTAGGAGTACCATCTCTAAAAAAGTAAACTGTGAAGAAAATGAAGGTAAACGGCCTCATGTAAAAAAATCAATGAAATTAATGCTACGGTTTCTTTTAAATATTTTTATTTTTTATTTTTTTAAGACAGGGTCTCACTGTCTCCCAGGCTGGAATGCAGTGACAGGATCATGGTTCACTTCAGCCTCAACCTCCCTTGGCTCAGGTGGCTCTCCCACCTCAGCCTCCTGAGTAGCTGGGACTACAGGTGCACACCACCCTGCCTGGCTAATTAAAAAAAAATTTTTTTTTGGTAGAGTCAGGGTCTGACTATGTTACCTAGGCTGGTCTCCAAACTCCTGGTGTCAAGTGATCCACCTGTCCTGGCCTCCCAAAGTGCTGGCATTACAGGTGTGAGTCACTGTACCTGGCCTCACAGTTTTGACATTATAGTATTAGTAAGGAGTGTTTTATGCAGGGCAGAGTGGCATATACCTGTAGTCCCAGTTACACAGGAGGCTGAGGGGGGAGGATCACTTGAGACCACGATGTCAAGACCAGCCTGATCAACATAGTAAGATCTTGCTTTAAAAAGAAAAAAAGTTTTACAATGTAATTTGAAGAGAATAATAAAAAATAATTTCTAGAATCTAAGATGTGAGATTAACATTGGATTTGGTATGACTCTCAAACTAACACTTTTTGATACTGCAGGTGGCAGAAAGTTTTATAGAGAAGGCCCCAGGTTGACAATTCAGATGCACAGATATAGAACTAGATTCATACTGGCAAGATGACCTCCTCCTTCGTCTTAATACTTACCCTACTATATGAATGCAAGGCAAAAGAATGCTAAGGCAGAACATGCAGTTCATAGGGACACACGCTATAGGAACAACTGCCTAGTTCCTACCATCTTCTGAAAAAGTAGGGCATCTGTGGGAGTCAGCCATTGCAACAGCATCTGTTCATTTAATAGCTGTATACTGCAAACCTGCTCTCAACTACAAGGCACTGTGCTTGATGGGATTCTACCATCTTATCTGTAATAAGAAGACAAGTTAGTGGTAAAACCCCATATTTACCAAAAATATAAAAATTAGCCAGGTTATAGAGCCACACGCCTGTAAATATAGCTACTCGGGAGGCCGAGGCAGGAGAATCGCTTGAACCTAAGAGGCAGAGGTTGCAGTGAGCCAAGATAGTACCACTGCACTCCAGTCTGGGTGACGGAGCGAGACCCTGCCTCAAAAACAGAAACAAACAAAAAAAAGAAGATATGTTAGGCTGGGCTCAGTGGCTCACACCTGTAATCCCAGCACTTTGGGAGGCCCAGTCAGGTGGATCATTTGAGGTCAGAAGTTTGAGACCAGCCTGGCCAATGGTGGAACCCCATCTCTACTAAAAACATAAAAATTAGTTGGGAGTGGTGGCACACGCCTGTGATTCCAACTACTCAGGAGGCCAAGGTATGGAGAATCGCTTGATTCCAGGAGGCAGAGGTTGCAGTGAGTCAAGATTGCACTACTGTACTGTAGCTTGGGCGACAAAGTGAGACTCTGTCTCCAAAAAAAGAAAAGAAAAAGACATGTTAAAATGGAGTTCTGGCAGCATTCTGTGGGGCTCAGGGTTCTTTCCAGGGACATTAATGCTGACCCTGGCCAAAGGGCTGTTCCATATGGAAGTCGCGGAAGCAATAACTAGAGAAACCTGACAACACAGTATATTACAGAGCACAATGCAGAAGTCTCTCCCCACTAGTCCCCACTACCATCTCCACCATTCTTAGAGACAAAGCTGGGACATCTTGTCTCTTGCTATTGCTAGCTCTGTTAGAGCAGGAGGTGGTCATGAGAAGTGCTAAAATACAGGCAGTTGAGAGACCTAGTACAACAAAATGACTCCTAAAAGTTAACTCAAGTCTTGGTTCTGCCATGACCTTAGCCTTGTTTTCTGGTATTTTAAAGTCTGTTTTCCTTACATAAAGCAGTATGGCTTCAAGGTAGCACAGAGGTTCTCCATCCTAGTGCACATCAGAATCACCTGGGGAGATTTAAAAATACCTACACCTACGCTCTTTGCAGTCCACTTATATGTGAAACTCTGCTTATTGGGGAAAAATAAAGGACTGCAAAAGACTTAATGGAAAAAAAACAACAACTCTAGGGACCAGCATATTTTAAAAGTACTGTGGGTGAAGTCATTTCTCCAAAGAAGAAATACAAACTGCCAATAATCACATAAAAAGATGCTCAGCATCATTAGCCATTAGGGAAATGCAAGTCAAAAACCATAATGAAATATCACTTCACACTCACTAGGATGGACTGTAAGCAAAAAGACAAATGTTGACAAGGATGTGGAGAAACTGGGATCTCCACTGACTGTTGGTGAGAACATACAATGCAGCTGCTATGGAAAAATCCAGCAATTCCACAAAAGGTCAAACATAATTACTATATGGTCCAGCAATTCCCCTTGTAGGCACCTATATCCCAGAAAAGTAAAAATACATGTCTACATAAAAACTTGTATACAAATGTTCACAGCAACATACTCAGTAAAAAAGTGAAAATAACTCAAATATCCATCAACTGATGGATAAAATGTGGTATACGCATACAATAAATAATTATTTGGCAAAAAAAAAAAAAAGAAGTATGATACAGTATGAAAACATAATGCTAAACATTAAAGGCAGTCATAAAAAACATATAAACTTGATTCTTTAAACAGGGGAGGAATGAGAGGAATCATACCAATCCTTCCTCCCGTTTTGGGGGAAAACGAGGAGTTGACTATTAATGGGTATGGGATTTCTTTCTGGGGTGATAAAATGTTCTAAAATTGGTTGTGGTTACGGCTGTACAACTCTGTGACTATAAAGCCAGTGAATTGTACACATGAAAACGGCGAATTTTATGGTATGTGAATAATATCTCAATAAAGTTGTTATTTAAACAAAGAAGGAGAACAAGTGCCTCAGTTGATTCTAACAAGCAATCAGGGTAGAGAACCGTATCAGTAAAGCACTGGTTATCCATACAAACTTAGGTTTAAATCCTGACTCTATCACACACCAGAAGTATAATCCTGGAAAAGTAATTTAATTTTTCTTCCTTTGCTTCAGTTTCTGTAACTGTAAATCAGAGATACCTACCTTACAGTGGTCACCGTTAAAGAAGAAAAAACACAAAACACATACCTTGTACAGTGTGGTATCACATAAAAAGTAAAAAAAAAAAAATAAAAATAAAAGTCAGTTAACTATCAAGGTCCAGATTAGTGGTTCTCTTCCTTGGCTATACGCTGAAATCAGTCAGCAAGCTCTAAACAAACTGATGCCTAGGTCCCATCACCAAGGGAGTTTGCTTTAATTATTCATGTATGCAAATAGTCAGTAGGATTTTTAAGAGCTCCCCCTATAGTTCTAATGTGCACTCAAGGTTGTACAGCCAAGCCACTAGTCTAGACTGTGTCTAAAGGTTTTTTTGGCACTAAAATTCTAACTATCTGATCCATTGCACTGGGAACTCCAACGATTCTTTCTTGCCTCATGAGTGCTGCCCACCACCACGACCCCCACCATAGCCACCTGCACATCTGTCTGGTCTCAACTGAAATGCCACTTACCCAAGGGAGCCATTCCTGACCTCCAGGATAAGTTAGGTCGCCCCCATTACACATTCCCACGGCACTCTATATTTCACCTTCCTAACATTCAGCACACTTCAATCCACTCATTCAGTGCCTGTATTTCTAGGACTCCAAACTCCTCAATAAGGCAGCCCCCCCAAAATTTTACTTTTCACTTGCACACTGTAATGTTTTTATTTTACAGGCAAAGAAACTAAAATAGGGATACCACCAAATAAACTGGAAGAATTATGTATATAAACTCTAAAATCATAAATTCTTTTTTAAAAATAAATTTCTTGTGTATACTTAAAATATACAACATGTTATAAAAAACACATACAAATGGTTATTATCATGGAACAAAGTAATGTACCTATCATCTCACATTGCCACTTTCTCCTCTGTGGCAAAAGCAGCTATGACTATATAATTAACTATAGTCCCCACGACGTATATTAGGTCTTTCAACTTGTTTATCACACATATTTGCTATTTTGTATCCGTTGACCTCCATCTCCCCACTTTTTCCCATAACTCCAACCCTGGTAACCACTTCAGAAGTATACATTTTTAACTAAAGAATCATTTTAAAAATGTTTATAACCACAATTAAATAAAGTAACAATTATGGCTCAAACAACCTTCAAAATTATTGGAAACTTTTACTTTACTGCCAAAGTTAATCTAGCAACTTTAGCTCAAGGCAAATCAGACCTGTATTCACTTTAAAAAACTATAATAACTAAATAATATTTTACCTGGGAATGTACTTATTCATTATGGCATAAAAGCAGTTGTATAAATCGCTGCGTGGCAGTTGAAGATGCACCAATGGTTTGAGTAGATGTATCCAGCTAAGGGATGTGCTATATTTAATGTTTCGCGATTTACAATAAAAGGTAATTACAGATTCGATATCCAAAAGTAATTCTGCTGCCTTCTCCTCTGGCACTGAAAGCTGATCTAGAAAATAAATGTTAAAAAATAAAGTTACCGAGAGCCTGTTAGTGAACATAACATTTGTTTACAAATATAGAATACTGTGTTAGTACATTTAGAGAAAGAAAGTAAAACCACATGAAAGCACATTTTCCCTTATACTTAACAATCATGGGTTTACAGATCCAAAACCCAAGGAAAAAAACATACTCGAAACTCTAATAGTTTTTCTTTTTTTTGAGATGGAGATTTGCTCTTGTCGCCCAGGCTGGAGTGCAATGGTGCGATGGATCTCAGCTCACTGCAACCTCCGCCTTCTGGGTTCAAGTGATTCTCCTGCCTTAGCCTCCTGATTAGCTGGGATTGCAGGTGCCCACCACCACGCCTGGCTAATTTTTGTACTTTTAGTAGAAACAAGGTTTCATCATGTTGGCCAGGCTGGTATCAAGCTCCTGACCTTGGGTGATCCACCGGCCTTGGCCTCCCAAAGTGCTGGGATTACAGGTGTGAGCCAATATGCCCGGCCTTATAACAGTCTTTTTAACTTTAAGACAGTTGTTTAAAGAAAAGAAAATTAAGAATAACCATTTTACTTAAGTATGTTTTCTTACCTAATCTGTTGAAAGAGAAGGGAAAGAAACAGGAGATGTCTATACATTCAGCATTTACTAACATTAGCACTTAGTAATGCTTGACCTAGATATGTCAAACATAAAAATGGCCAATCTGAATTAAAGGGGTAGGCAAAGATAGGCATAGCCCATATTCCTGGGAAGCAAAAGTGTTACCTAAACAGATTATCACCTACCCCATGATGGACAGTTGTTGCTATAACTGTCAACAAGAGGGAAAGGAATTCATTCTCCACTACCAAATTCTCTTTCTTTTGCCCACACCAGCAATGTTTCAGTTGTGCTTACCACGCATAGGCCTATCAAGCCAATAATTTAACTAAAATATGATGGAAAGAGAAACAAAAATACAGCAATGCACTACAGATGAATTTAAAACAAGTATAAACTAAATTAATCCATACTGTGAACTGAAATAATCTTGTGGGGTGATTAGAAACCTATTCAACTACAATTTACAATAGTTTCTCTACAGCAGACCACAAACAATGATTTATAGATAAACTTTTGGAGCAAAGCCCCCTTTAATTTGAGGGCTGCATACAATCGTACAGATCTTTAATTATATAAAAATCAAATTTAAGACTACAACAAACCCATGAAAAAGAAACAGTAAAAACTAGGCCATTTTTTTTTTTTCAGAGTCTCACTCTTTCGCCCACACTGGTGTGATCTTAGCTTACTGCAACCTTCGCCTCCCGTATTCAAGTGATTTTCCTGCCTTGGCTTCCCAAGTCACTGGGACTACAGGAGCCCACCACCATGCCTGGCTAATTTTTGTATCTTTTAGTAGAGACGGGGTTTTGTCATGTTGGCCAGGCTGGTCTTGAACTCCTGACCTCAGGTGATCCATCAGCCTCGGTCTCCCAAAGTGCTGGGATTACAGGCATGAGCCACGGCACCCAGTCAAAACTAGGCTCTCTTAAAATAAGTAGACAGTATTTCATAAGAATTTCAAAAGAAAAGTTCTAAAGCTATTTACAAACCTTTTGCAAATTCTGAAATTATAAGAAGATAATAAGAGGGATTCCTCAACCCGAAAATTACTTCCAAAATTTATCTCTGCTTGAAAATGATTATTAAGCTTACCAAGAAACTGCAGGCAATCTTTGTGAATAGCGTTCTGTTCTGGCAAGTCTAAAATGCCATCCCATGATGCCAGACTATCACCTTTTCCTGCAACATTCAGAGCAATCTGGAAGAAAGATTTAAAAAGAGACTAGCTTCATAAGTTATTCCTCATTCTTGGAAAATGTGCTGTAATAATCAAAGGCCTGAATATTAAAATAATAACAAAGATTACAATTAAGTTATCGACAATCCACTAAATGTTGAGTCTTTAGTCATGTCACAGTTAACCAGCAGAATTATTTTAAATCCTCCTACATTAGATATTACTTCATGTTGATTCAGTGAACACAATAAATTATCCAAAATATTTATATATTTAGCTATCTAAATTTACACAAGAATCATATATTTTTTTTAATGTAAAAATAACAGAATGTGCTGGCAAAGAAAAAGTACATCTGTGCCATGTATATTTTTAAATTATACAGAAGAATACTAAATAAATTGAGAAAATGTTTTTGCTGTTTTGTAAGGTTTAAGTATGTAAGAAAAACTGTTGATTTAAAGAATCTTAAGTGACGTATTCAAATGCAACAGGTAGGCCACTAGAACTCAAATTTAGACAAATCACCTATAAAAATACATGTATGAGACAACTAAATTATTTTATGATATTAAGAAATTACCTTTTTTTGTGTGTGTGTGCGAGAGACCGAGCCTCATTCTGTTGCTCAGGTTGGAGTGCAGTGGCATGATCTCGGCTCGCTGCGACCTCCGCCTCCCAGGTTCAAGCAATTCTCCTGCCTCAGCCTCCCAAGTAGCTGGGACTACAGGCACGTGCCACCACGCCCAGCTAATTTTTGTATTTTTAGTAGAGACGGGGATTCGCCATGTTGGCCAAGCTGATCTCAAACTTCTGACCTCAGGTGATCCACCCACCTTGGCCTCCCAAAATGCTAGGATTACAGGTGTGAGCCACTGCACCTGGCCAGGAATTACCATTCATTTAAATGTTTTAGACTTTCATATTAAACTATTAGTATACTACCAAGGATTTGCTTTAAAATAATGCAGTGAGTGGGGTGGGGAGGAAAGGATGAGCATACTAATCAAACAAGATCGGCTAAATGTTGATACCAGTTAAAGTTGGGTTATGGGCACTTGGGAGTTCATTATATAAGCTCTATGCTTTTGCATGTACTTAAGTTTCTATAATAAATGTTCAGAATGCTATGCACAGTTTTAATTCAATTTCTATTAAATATATATGTGCATAGGGCAAAAAGGTAAAAAAGTAAGCACCAAGCCTTTATATGTTTTACCTATAGGTGGTAGATAACATATTTTTATTTTATCCTTTGTTATGCTGTATATGTTTCCACAAATACATGTATTTCTTTTGTAATCAAACAATATTTTAATTCAAAATTTTTACCAATTGTAATACCTATGCACTGGAGAATAGCTGAATGAGGAAAATAAAGGGAAAATTTCCTGTAACCCAAACAGCCAGAGGCATATTTCTTTTTTTTTTTTTTTTTTTTTTTTTTTTTAACAATTGCTATGATCATTCTGTATCTGCAAATATACATCCTATTTTACTCACGGATTGCACCTTGTTTCATGAAAGAATTTTCATAAACACTACGTTTTGTTTGTTTTGAGATGGAGCCTCACTTTGTGGCTCAGGCTGGAGTGCAGTGGCACTACCTCAGCTCACTGTAGCCTTGCCTCTTTGGTTCAAGAGATTCTCCTGCCTCAGCCTCTTAGTAGAGATGGGTTTTCATCATGTTGGCAAGGTGGGTCTCCAACTCCTGACCTCAGGTGATCTGCCCGCTTCGGCCTCCCAAAGTGCTGGGATCATAGGCTTGAGCCATCGTGCCCGGCCCTGTGAACACCATTTCTAATGGCTACAAAAGTATATATTATGTTCTAAAATCTAAACCATTATTGTTAAATATATCAAACACTACAGGAACACACATTTTAATAAGCTGCTGTTTGATGAATCTTCTAGATGTGGCATGTTCATAAGATAATAGTTTTCTGCAACTAAGACAGCTGAAACAATAAACTTTTAAAAATATTATTCTTCAGTGATTACATTTTATTCATTTCAGTTTCTAGTTACCTTCCAAACTTTGGCCCTTAGATCAGCAGGCAGTGGTCTTCCTTGAATTATATTTCTCAAAGTTTCAAGATCACAACCTCCTGCTTCCAGAGCTTCTTCAAGATCTTTTTCCCTAAAAAAAAAAAAAACAAGTCCTATTTATTAAAATAAATTTTACTTCGTACTTTTTCTTATTCAAGATTCATTTATAAGCATGGACTAGTAAAGTCTTGTTTAAGAAAAAGAAAGTTCTCAGCAGCCAAAATGTAATGCCAAGGTATACACAGCATGTTTTCTTGGTGGGAAATCTCAGGCTTCATACAGTCAATTGACTCATTTCACACTTAGTTCTAACCAATTTGGTTGTCTTTTTCCAGATTAGAGAAATTTAAAGAGAAGATGGGGCAATCTGGCTGGCAGCACTGAAGTCATAGTAATAATAGTATTCTTGGTAGTGGTAATGACTAACACTTTACATAGCAACAATGTGTCAGGCACTATTTCAAACATTTTACTGTTCTTTTTAATCCTCGTAACAATCCCTACAAGATAGGTTACATCACTGGCCCCACGTACAGATGAAAATGGAGGCAAAGAAGGGCTGCATACATTTAGGGGCCAAGTGAAGAAATAACTTCATCAGTATTAAAAAGTTGCTATTCTTTTAGGTGTTTACCAGTATTATGGTTATGGTCACATGTCATATTAGCAGTAGAGGTGAATTCAAATTTTAACAGTATGGTTCCTGAATTCGTGCTCTTAACATTTATGCTAAACTCAGCCAAGAATTCAAAACATTGCAGTCTGAAACTAGTAAATGACTATATCAATGTCATGCCTAGAGCAGTGCCCAGCTTACAGTAAGTGTTAAATAAGTGTTAGAGGGAAAAAAAGGCTCTAGTGGTATACTAAAGCAAAATAATAATATCACATCATCAAGTGATTTATCAAGCAGTTTTGTTCAGTCTCCTATGTTTAAAGAGAAAAGTATGAATTTAATTTCATTTGTATAAGGTTAAAATAATGAAAAGAATACTTTCACAAAGGAAGGCATTGTTTTCTAGACAGAAAATAACCAGTTAAATTATCAATTCCTTAGGAATTTTCAAAAGCTGAGGTTTTAGTCATTGTTTACAATATCAGCCTACATTAAAAATCTGTACAAATTTTTAAGAGCTTCATACCTGGACAGTTTGTAATATTCTTTGAAGCAACCTAAAAGGCAGATCATCTCACTAGGATCAGGAAATCAGGATTTTTGTTTCATTTTTGTGGTTCTGAAGAAAATAAATTACTTCCACTCTTAATGTATTCAATAAGACAATGAAAACCTCCCCACTGATAGGTGTCTAAGAATATTAGTTTAAATGCACAAATTTCATAAAGTGTTGCTCTACTAAGGGAAGGAATTACATGAAAATGTAATCATTTAGGATCACATTCAACAGAAAAGTACTCATCAAATTTGAAAGGTTCCTTGATGAAGCTACTACAAATTCATATGAACAGGAAGATAACTAGTAATCACACAAGAAATATTTTGTTCTTTTGCTATATGGTCACCAAAGTGTTGGAAAGGAAAGGTAGAGAAAAAGATTTCAAGTCTACTGTTGAGAGACAGTTCAGGTGTACAGCTGATAAAAACTGGGGTTTACACATTTTCTCCTAGCCAAAATGTACAAGGCAGCCTGTTAGTAACCATGAAACAAAGAAAATGTAGTGACATCTTTGGTGAATAAATACCATATATTTAAATGGTCAAATGTGTCAAATAATGAGGAACTAAAAACACTACTTACTGAAATGAAATTATTTTACCAGGTGAAGAATTAGAATTATTCACTTTTCAGTATAAAATCCTTTTCTTTTTGAAGTAATTCTGCCAAATCCCTTACTATCCCAGACAACAAAGCTCATATTTTCCTGCAAAATGCCCAATCCTCAAAGTCCTTTTTAAATCACAATAATGTACAAGCACATCTCTGTTGATACAGCTGCTGCTGGATTCTTTGATGCTGCCCCCAAGGAACCATAAATGTGGTCTCCTGCAGTATAACCACGAGCAAGGGCTCCTTTGAAGACCCAAAAATACTATAAAAGCCTTAAGTAGTAAAAGATACTTCTCACAAATAATTATTAAATTTTTACTAATCACTAAATTACTAAAATTTACTAGCTACTAAATAATTAAAAGTAACATTAGTTTCTGAACAAGGCATTGAAAGGTACACTTACTAGACCTTCAACAATATAAATGTGCTCATAAAAGTAGTAAAGAGCTGAAAATTGTTAAGGTAAATAATTCATAGAAGAATCAAGAATCAAGCAGAGATAAGAATTCTATAGCATTTAGCTCTCAAACAGAATTCCTCTTCCCCTAAACCAAGTTTCTACTTTTAAACAAGTAATACAATTCTAACATACAAAAGCAAAACACATGTCTGATGTGGTATGAGTGGGTGGGCTCCGTTTCTTTCTGTCTTCTTTGATCAGCAGCTTCTCACTGACTTTACAAATTAAAGGTTGGTACAGTCACACAGGACATTCAGACAAGGTTTTAAAACAGAAAAGAACAGGCCTTGTCCATTTATCCTCGAAAGTACAAAAATAAGCAAAACCATCTCCTTTGCTCAGAAAGTTCAGGACAGACCAAATCCAATGCTCTGAGGTTGGAAGGAAGGAGAAACTCACCTCCTCCTGGCTCTGTGACTTTGAAACTATTAAAATATGTTGGTATAATACTACAGGTTCCTGTCATGATCTATCAATAACATATTTTCAAAACCTAAGTAAAACATAACAGAATTTTCTCTCACCTGATGTTGTGTGGTAAAATCACCTATCTAAGCATTGCAGCCCAAGTTGCTTCAGAATTACAATGAGGCAAACAACGTCACTAGATTTATATGGCATTCATTTAATGTTTATACTCAAGCTAGCAAATGAATTGGATTTTTCTTCTTCAGCCAAATGGTGAATAACTCCAAACATATGGAAGCATTTGCACAATGTATGGGGGAAGGAACTATGAATTTTCAAGCACTAGCAAATGTAATATGCATTTCCAAATCCTTCTATGATTAACAAATTCAATTATTATTAGAAATTGTGTAATTTTCTGAATAAGCCATACTGTATCATAATAAAATTATGATTTTTAAAAGCAACTGGATTACATATATTGTGTTCTTAAAATTTTTAAAGTGACAGAAAACCTCCCGCTAGGAAAAATGACTATATATTCAACATTTTTCTAAATTCTGTTTTCTCCTAAACATGTTCTAAACATTTATTTTCTCCATCATTTCAAAATGTATGAAAACTGTTTAAATGTACACACACTATCGCAAAACAGGACATAAAAACAAGAAACGAGACTTAGTTCATCTCCTAATTTTTTTTTAATAAGTATCTTTCTACACTTAAACCCCATATCCATTAGCAGTCACTCGCCATTCCACCCCACCAGCACCTCCCGCCCTGCCTCCAGCCTCTGTCAATCACTGATTTACTTTCTGTCTCTACACCCTATTCAGGATATTTCATATAAATGGAATAATATGCAGCCTTTATGCCTGGTTTCTTTCATTCAGCATAACATTTCAACATCTATCCATGATGTAGCATGTATCAGTACACGCTTTTGGCTTTTCACTGCCAAATAAGATACCATTGTACTGTATATGAATATACCATATTTTACTTATCCGTCCATCCATCACATAACGGGCATTTGAGTTGTTTCAACTTTTTGACTATTATAATTATCTTAATTTTGAACATAAGTATCAGTAGTTCAACTGGTTAACTGTATGATACATCTGTATTATTTTTTATTAATTATTTATTCTTCCTAAAAAAGTATGAAAGAATTTAACGATCAAGTCTATTAAAACCTCACTCAAAAACCAATCCCAAACCAGGCCAGGTACAGTAGCTCACACCTGTAAATCCCAGCATTTGTGGGTAGATGGAGTGAGCCCAGGAGTTTGAGACCAGCCAGGGCCATGTGGAAAAACCCCGTTTCCACAAAAAGTACAAAAAATTAGCAAGTTGTAGTGGTGTGCGGCTGTAGTCCCAGCTACTTGAAAGGCTGAGGCAGGAGGACCAATTGAGTTCGGGGAGCAGAGACTGCGGTAAGGCCAAGATCATACCACACCGCACTCCAGCCTGGGCTACAGAACGAGGCCCTGTCTCAACAAACAAACAAAAAAAACAGAGCAATAAAACCAAATCAAAGAACCCATCACACTCATTAGGATGACTACTACCATCAAAAAACATAAAATAACAAGTGTTGATGAAGACGTGGAGAAACTAGAACCCTTGTGTACAGTTAGTGGGAATGTAAAATGATGCAGCCACTATGGAAAACAGTATGACAGTTCCACTAAGAATTAAAAATAAATGTTCCATGCGATTTAGCAATTCCACATGCTGGAATATGTCTGAAAGAAATGAAGGCAGAGTCTGAAAGAGACTTTTGTATACACATGTTCACAGCAGCATTATTCACAGTAGCCCAAAAGTAAAAGTAACCTGAGTGTCCATTCACTGAGGGATGAATGAACAAAATGGGTGTGTGTACTGTATGTCTATCATAAAATTAATATATATGTTTATTAATTATTTATTCTTCCTAAAAAGGTCTGAAAAATTTAAACAAATGTTTATTAATTACATATATTGACATATAGTACATACAAACACCCATTTTATCCATTCATTCCTCAGTGAATATATAATATTCAAATATATTCAAATATCCAATGTATAAACAGATATATATTTGCTTAATTACATATATAATTACCTATTATAGAATATATATTTTATATATATCTAATATATAATGGACCCAAAAAGGAAGGAAATTCTGACACATGCTATGACATAGATGAGCCCTGACAACATTATGTTAAGTGAAATAAATCAGTCACAAAAAGGCAAATACCAAATAAGGTACCTAGAGTAGTTAAATTCAGAGACAGAAAGTAGAATAGAGGTTACCAGAGCAAAGAGAGCAGAGAATGAGGACCTCTTTAACAGATAACGAAGTTTCAGCTCTGCAAGATGAAGCGAGTTCTAGAGATTATATGCAAAACAATGTAAATGCACTTGATACTAACACAC